TAGGATGAAAATGGCACTGCTGTTTTTCAATCAGCAGTCTCTGTGGCACCTGAGTACTGAAAGATCCTAACAGAATAGGAGGCTTCCAGCCTTCTAATATTATTTTTTAACAGCTCTCTTTACAGCTAATAATTCAAAGCGCCAAAGGAAACCTCATGTTATTCCAAGAATCAAGCAGAATGATCAAGGTAATAATAGATCTGGCATGCTAGGTAATCCTAGACAATATAGTGATGTTATGTGAATTAAAGCAGTCATGCTATGTGTGATTGAATCAATAAGGGGTTAAAGGTAGGAATATAATGAAAGCAAACCCGCATGGCTTTGTGGAAACAAGTCTTGACAAGCAGGCCTGACTTCAATTTTTTATGAGATTACAGGTTTGTTTGATCAAGGTAACCACATGGATGTGATAGACTTGGACCTTCCTAATGAATCTGATTTAGTAGTGCTTGACATTTTGATTAAAACATTAGCATTATATAGCCTTAATAAAACACATTAAATAGATTAAGATCTGGCTAATTGATAGAGTTCAGCAAGCTGTTCTAACCAGATACTCAGCACTGACTGGGGATATTTTTAGTGGGGCTCTGCAGGCAGGAACACTATGCTTACTGCCATTCGATGTTCTGGAATTACACAGAAACATGGGTAATACTGGCAAATGTCCCACAGTGTAATGAGGAATGGGTAGCTATGGAAAGTCACAGTTTTGCCTGCATTGGCATAAATGCATTTGTGGTATCTGATTACATACTTTTTCTTTTGTTCTGTATAAGCACAGAGGTTCTCTTGCAGGGTATAGTTGCAGGGCTGTGGTCTAGTCAACTGCTGATGGGTATACAATGATTTCTCTCCAGGGTCGTTGATTTTTTTCTACTAATTCATGTATTGTTGAAGGGAGTTGTATGAATCATTTTAAAAGCATGAGCTGTGAAACCACCCCTTATTGCACACTTCTGCATGTCTTTTTTTTTTTTTCTAAACTACCAAGAATATAACCTGAGATTTAAATATGTTTGAAGCTTTAAAAAGTCAGGAAATTCTAGTCCATGGGCTGAAGAAGGATTGCTATAAAAAAAATAAACCAAGAAAGCCAGATGAGGTAAGCAAAAAAAAACCCCAAAGAGAACTAAGCAACTTCAATGATCAGTCATGTACAAAACATATATAATCTCTACTACTATCACTTTCTGGTCAGCTGATCTATGCACATCTTTCTCATTCTTCATTTTCTTGGTCAGTTCTTGAATCAGATTGAGGTTAGATAACACTGAATTAATATTACTCTCCTTTGCTAGATTTGATTCTGACCAGTCTTGTAATACTGCTACATGTAATCACAAGCTTACTTAAGCAAAAATCAAAATGAGAATTCATACGAATTTTTATGGTGTAGAATGTTAAAGATGCTCTTTCTCAGCAAAATCTTTATAGCAAACTGTTGTCCTTTTAACATTTGGTTTGGTTTCTGTTTGACCTTGCAGAACAAGATGACTGATAAATATAAAAGATACTATCCAGGAGAATATATTTTCCTCTTACTATCTAAAATACAGATTCAGAGACAGATTTTCCACAATGCATTAGGATGTGTTATTTAACTTGGTTTATATCAATTTAACATCTAAAATCTTTTCACATTTTCATAATTTTACCAACTTGTGTTAAAACTCTTGGTGGCAAATCTATGCAATCTCAGAAGCACCCTATGAAACATCAATACCATCTAAACCAGCACAAGCCAGCAAGTGGATGCCTCATCTATCTACTGCTTGTTTCTCCACTAAAAAAAAGAAAACCAATTTTTTTTTACTGTGTCAAAACTGAATTGGTCCTTTTTCTTTTTTTTTCTTTTTTTTTTTTTTGTTATACATCAAAACTCCTCCCCAGCCAAGTCATTACATCAAAACTCCTCCCCAGCCAAGTCTCAATGGGGCTCCTTTCTGTGCCTGTCATCAGTGTTACTGAATTTGTCTAAGTCCTACACTGTCCTGTACCACAACTAATTTCCATCATTCTCTCTCTGCTTCTGGATTTGTGTCCAGCTTAGAGCAAAATTTTCAAAAGGGACCTGCATGCCTTCCATGTACCAGTAATGAGCCAAAATATTTTCCTCAGTTGATATTTTTAAACAGGACTGATTATGTTTTGTTGGCCACTATGGTTTTGTTGGTTTGGGTCTTTTTCCTACAAGTCAGTTTTCCTAACACCACATTGGCAGTATGAGGATCCTTGCTTGCCCTTTTGGATACTCTGAGGTAATATCTAATTGTCAATACTCAGCTCTTCATTCTGATTCTCTGAAAGACAAACATTGGTATTCAAAAAATGTATGCATCTTACTCTACTTCCAAAGGCTTTTTATCATTCTTCTAATTTTAATCCTTCCCTTTCTTCTCTTAAAACTGTCTTATCTCTGTCCTCCCTAGAACTGTGGAACCGTTATATCAGATTTTCTTCCTCTGGTACCCCCTGACTCCCAGTGTCTTCTCTTTTTTGCAAGCCTGTGACATTCTCTTCATTCTAATTACTTCATTTTTAACCTTATCTTTCCCTTTCCTATTTACAATTCGTGCTGTTATCTTTCTTTTGGGTTTTGTTAGCCTTTTTTTTTCACTTGCATTGCCTGTGGTGAACATAATATCAGTAGGACATGACATTCTTGAAATAGCTTCAACTGGGTTTTGACTTTTCCTTATTCTCAAAAACTCTGTACTTACATCTTTACAAATTTGCTTACTCAGTTCCATCCTCTTTTTCATTTTTGTCTCCTTGCCATAGTCCTCATATATTTTGTTTCCCATACAAAGATATGCTCCTTTTTTTTTTTTTCTGGCTGCAGAAACCTATCAACCTTTCCAGTTTCATCAGCACTGTATCCTTTATTTTTCCTAAGGGCAAAAGTGAAGCTACGATTATTCTTTGAACTTCACTGCAATCTTTTTATCGTTCAGAGGGGGAGTACCTGTGAACACACAGGGATGAGCTAAAGTGAAAACAAAAAATATATGGATCTCAGTGTAAGAAACCAAAGTAAACACTATTACCTTGCTTCACAGAACTGTAAGATTTACAAAAAAACAATTAGGTGTTAGGGTGGGTATCAGAACTCTCCTAAGCACCCCTGAAACATCTGCAAAATGGGGTGATCAATGTGCACACCTCAAGTGTGACCAACGTGCAACACTTTGGCGAGGTGTTATTTATTCCTGTACAGAACAAGTTTCTTCCTTACACCATTTTAGTCAGTTCCCGGCTTCCAACCACGCTGACAGCGCTGTGCCATGAGTCACTTTTAACAGCTGCCTCATTTGCTCCCGACCTGAATAACGTTTCCATAGAGGTTCGTGTACCGTGTAACACCACCCGTGCTGGACCGCGCTCCGGAGGCCCGAGAGCCGTCCCACGCCACTTCCATGGCTTTGGAGCGAGCCCTGGAGAACCTCCGAACCACGAGGCGCCCGGAGGGGCAGCCCTGGGTCAGTGTATTCCTCCGGGGAATGAAAAGGGGATTAGTCCCCGAGAAGGCCGGTGGTGTCAGTGTCCGGGCTGAGCACCGACCCGCACAGACCGCTCTGTGCCAGGCGGGAAATGGAGCTCCCCGAGCGACGGGGGAGCTCCGCCACCACCGGGACCGTCATCTCCTGTGACATCTTCACAGAACCACAGAACATCCTGAGTTGGAAGGAACTCACAAGGATCACCGAGTCCAACCCTTAGCCCTGCACAGGGCAGCCCCAAGAATGTGCCTGAGAGCGCTGTCCAAACGCTACTTGAACTGTCGAACTCGGTGCTGTGACCACTTCCCTGAGGAGCCCGTTACAGTGTCCAACCACGCTTTGGGTGAAGAACCTTTTCCTCATATCCAACCTAAAACTGCCGTGGCACAGCTTCATGACTAAGTTTGGGTCGATTCGCCCTCCCGTACGCAGCTCAGGCTGCGAAACCAGCCTGGATCCCCACGGCCTCGCCAGCCTCGCTCCCCCCGGCGCTGTTCCCCACAGCAACCGCCGCCGGTCCC